GTAATAATAGTAATAATAATAATAATAATAGTAATAATAATAATAATAATAATGATAATAATAATAAAAATAGAAATATTAGTAATAACAAGAATAATATTAATAATAATAATAATAATAATAATAATATCAATAATAATAATAATATTAATATTAATTAAAATAAAAATAATAATAGTGATAAAATAATAATAATAATAACAATAACCATAATAGTAATAATAATAATAATAATGATAATAATAATAATAATAATGAAATAATAATAATAATAATAAATAATACAATAATAATAATAATAATTATGATAATAATAATAATAACAACAACAATAATAATAATAATAATAATAATAATAGTAATATTGATAATAATAATAATGAAAACAACAACAATAATAGTTATAATAATAATTATAATAATAAAATAATAATGATAATGATAATAATAATAATAATAATGATAATAATAACAATAATAATAATAATAATAATAATAATAAAAATAATAATAATAATAATAATTATAATAATAATAATAATAATTATAATTATAATAATAAAAATAGTAATAATAATAATAATAATAATAATGATGATAATAATAAAAATAGTAATAATAGTAATAACAAGAATGATATTAATAATAATAATAATAAAATAAATAATAATACTCTCCCAAGATGCTCTCAGCGTAGGATAACTAACCTGCGCAGTGAACGTGAAAATGGCGAGGGGAAGGGGATGGGGACGAGGAAGAGGCCGGAAAATGTCAATAATGGCAGTTGGTAGCTCAGTTGGAGCTCAGGTGGAAGCATCAGATCAATAACAAGCTCAGAGTGACGGACAGATATGTAAAGATAAAGTGAATGAGAGTGTTGATGTAACTAGGCGATTGAGCTTAGATTCAGTAGTGGAAGATGAGGAAGATAATGAGAACTCAGATCTAATACAAAAAGTAGCTGAGAACAAGATGGAAAGCAATGGAACAATAGCTAAGAAACAAGATGGGAATATTGTAGATAATGAGAAGAAGGGGATAAGAGGTGAAGAAGTGAATAAGGAGAAATAACCCTGGGTTAATATGTTTAAGAACAACCGTGTAGCTAACAATGGTATGCAGCTGAACTATTTCCCTCCACAAATAGTTAATGGAGAAACGATGGTACAGTTGGAAGGGAAAGAAGTGCTGGATGAAGAAGCTAAGTGGAAGTGTGCATTCATAGCCTATGTAGTGGGTGAGTGTCCTGGGTATAATGTCATGACCAGATACATAATGATGAACTGGTCTAAAGCTGGAAAACCAACACTGTTTCTACATGAAGAGGGATACTTCTTTGTTAAGTTTCAGAACATGGAGGATATGAATGAGATCCTATTTCCAGGACCTTACACTATAAATAACATGCCTATTATTCTGAAACAATGGTGCTCAGATTTTGATTTTGTGAAGGAATTCTTAGCTGAAATACCACTATGGGTTAATTTTCCAAGGTTACCACTTAATTGTTGGGGAGTTAGTTCATTAAGTAGAATAGCAAGTGCTATAGGAGTGCCCTTATTTGCTGATGAATGCACAACAAAGCAAACGAGAATCTCTTATGCTAGAATGTTGATAGAAGTTGATGTAACTAAAGCCATTCCTCAGCAGATTACAGTAGCAGATCCTAATGGAAGAACATTTGTACAAGATGTTGTGATGGAATGGAAACCACAGTATTGTGATAAATGCCAAAAAATTGGACACCAATGTCAATCAGCAACACTGGAGGAGATGCCAAAGAAGAAAAAGCCTTGGAAGAAAGTTACACAGACATGGCAATACAAAGGGCCAATACAACAGCAGGAGAAGAAAGATGAATTCATGGGGGAGAATAGGATAGAAAGGAAGAATGAAGAGAAGGAGAATCAAGAGATAGAGAAAGAAGAGGTGCAGGGTCATAACCAAACACCTGAGCTCAACCTGAGGCCTCAGACAGGAAATAAGCAACTGGAATTCAGCCTAACAAATTTCCCTATACTTGCAGCTATACCAGTTAGAAATGCATTTGAGAGTTTAAGGCATAGTAAACTTGCTTCACTTCCTGTGGATAGAGGTGGAGATCCAAAGACATGTTAATGAAGTGGAGTGTGTGGAATGTGAGGGGTATGAATAAAAGGTATAAGCAGAAGGAGATTAGGCTGCTTCTACAACAGAATAAAAGTTCTCTAGCAGGGTTAATTGAAACTAGAGTTAAAGAGGCAAATAGCAACACTATTCTAAAAACAATTGCTCCAGGATGGAACATCATACACAATTATAATGAGGCTGTAAATGGAAGAATATGGATAGTATGGGATGATAGCTGGTATGAGGTGAAGTTGTTAAAAAGTACTGCTCAAATGGTTCATTGTCAGGTGAATGAAAGAAGCAAAGGGTATTAGTTTAAAATCACAGTAGTCTATGGGTACAATACTTCAGAAATGAGGAGAAGCTTATGGATGGAATGGAAGATGTTAGTTCACAGTGTTTTAGAACCTTGGCTCATCATAGGAGACTTTAATGCTACCTTATCTCCCCAAGATAGATTAGATGGAGTTCCTGTTACATTGAATGAAATCAAGGATTTTGAAGAATGTATTAAAGACATGGGGGTTACTGAAGTACAGTGGAAAGGTAGTTACTATACCTGGACAAATAAACAGGTTGGTACTGCCAGAATTGCTAGTAGAATAGATAGAGCTTTTGGGAATGATTTTTGGATGGACAAATGGGGTCATGCTATTCTAGAATATGGGGTCCCAGGAGTGTCAGATCATAGTCCTATGCACTTGCTACTTCAGCAGAGCTATCACCAGATCAGAGTGGGATTCAAATTCTTTAATGTGTGGGTTGAGCATGAGTCCTTTATGGAAATGGTGGATACAATCTGGAAACAGGACTATGGAAATGAAGTAATGAGAGGAATATGGTATAAGTTGAAGGCTCTCCAGCCAATCTTGAGGCAATTGAATAAGAAAAAGTTCCAATTCATAGGCCAGAAGATTGAGAAGGCAAGAAGTGAACTTAAAGAAATACAAGAGAAGCTTTACAATCAGGCATAAGATGATCTAGTTATTAAAGAGAAAGAATTATTAATACAGCTGGAAAAATGGTCAATGCTAGAAGAAAATGCTTTAAGGCAAAAAGCAAGAGCTAGATGGATCACTTTGGGGGATACAAACAACAAGTATTTCAGCTCAGTGATAAAGGAAAGGAATCAAAAGAAACATATAAGGAGTTTATTATCTCTAGATGGAAAGATGGTGTATGAACCTCAGGAGATGCAAGAGGAGTTTGTCAAATTCTATAAAAGTCTTATGGGGTCCTCAGCAGGTGAGCTTCCAGCTATCAATGCTCAGGTGATGAAGAGAGGTCCAGTATTATCAAGGCAACAAAGAATTCAACTATGCACAGATGTAACAGAACAAAAGATATATACAACATTGCAGTCTATTGGGAATGATAAGGCACCAGGCATAGATGGTTATAATGCATTATTTTTTAAGCATACATGGAGGATTATTAAAGAGGATGTTATTACAGCTGTCACACAGTTCTTCACAACAGGGAAATTGTTTAAGCCTTTCAATTGTACTCTTGTGTCTCTAATTCCAAAGGTGTAAAGTCCTAAAACTGTGAATGAATACAGACCTATAGCATGTTGTACTGTGATCTATAAAATCATTTCAAAGGTGATAACAAGGAGAATGCATGATGTTATGCCTAATATTATTTGTGAAAGTCAGGCTGGCTTTATACCAGGGAGGAAGATTGCAGATAACATTATATTGGCTTATGAGCTGGTTAAATCTTATACTAAGAAGAATATATCTCCTAGGAGTTTGATGAAGATAGACCTGCAGAAAGCTTATGATTCAGTTGAATGGTCCTTTGTAGAACATGTAATGGGAGGTCTGGGATTTCCAGACATATTTATTCAATGGGTAATGAAGTGTGTGAAAACAGTGAACTACACTATTGTTGTGAATGGACAAAATACTCAGAGATTTGATGCAGCAAAAGGACTTAGACAAGGTGATCCTATGCCACCATTCCTGTTTGCTATAGCAATGGAATATCTTAGTAGATTGCTCAAAGGACTCAGAGAAGAGAAAATGTTCAAATACCATCCCAAATGCTCTAAGTTGGCCATAACTCATCTATGCTTTGCCGATGATCTTCTATTGTTCTCAAGGGGTGATCTGGACTGTATCAAGATGCTACAAAGATGTTTTTCAGACTTCTCTCAAGCCTCAGGATTGCAAGCAAATCTTACAAAAAGTTCTATTTACTATGGAGGAGTGCAAATGGAGGTAAAGCAACAGATTATGCAACAGATGGGCTATACAATGGAGGAACTTCCTTTCAAATACTTGGGAGTTCCCCTCTCGACAAAAAAGCTGAGATTAATACAATGGTATCCCCTCATAGACAAGATCATGGCAAGAATCAAGTCATGGACAGGAAAAAAACTGTCCTATGCTGGAAGAACACAACTGATTAAGACTGTCTTGTTTGGAGTTCAATCCTACTGGGCACAGTTATTTATCATACCAGCTAAGATAATTAAAGTGATTGAAGGACTGCAGAAGCTACTTATGGTCAGGGGTTGGAGAGGTTACAAAGAAGGACTTGATAGCATGGGAGAAAGTGTGTTATCCTAAAAGTGAGGGAGGCATAGGACTATTTAATATGAAAATATGGAACAGAGCCGCGATTGCTAAAATGTGCTGGGATCTAGCTAACAAAGAAGATAAACTCTGGATCAAATGGATTCACACATACTATATAAAGGGGCAAAGAGAGTGGCAGAGGAGGAAACAAGCAAGCTGGATGGTACAAAAAGTCATGAGTACTCAACAAAGTGTGGAGCAAGTTTAGAAGCAACAAAGGAAGAATAAAGGGGTGATTAGACAACTTTATGAACACATGAAAGGAGAGCAACAAAAACCAATATGGACCTGTCTTATGTTCAACAATGCTGCAAGACCAAAAGCTTGTTTCACAATGTGGATCATGCTAAATCAAAGGCTACTGACAGTGGATAGACTAGCTCATTGGGGAATTGAAGTAGAGAAGATTTGTGTGATGTGCAAGAATGAAGAAGAAACTGCAGAGGATCTGTTTATACAATGTAATTATGCAAGAAGAATATGGGAGAGATTGTTAAGCTCAATAGAGAGACAAACTGAAGCTCCAATGACTTGGGAGCAATTTGTACAATGGTGCATTATGCATGGAAAAGGGAAGAGGGCAGCTACACAACTGTTCAAGTTTATCCTTGCTGAAGGTATCTATGGATTGTGGATGGAGAGAAATAATAGAATCTTTGATCAGAAGAGTAGAAATGAGGAACAACTTGTTAAAGAAATAGTCTACATTACTATTGTTAGAACTCAACATTTAGCAGTTAAGTAGTTAGTAGTGTAGGTAGAGTTGTTGAGTCTGTTTTTTTTGCTTGGAGTAAGGTTGAAGTATGCTGTGATAGCTACTTGGTTTGTATGGTTTTGTTCTCGGTAATTAATAAAATGTAGTTACCAAAAAAATAAAATAAAAATAATAATAATAGTAATAAAATAATAAGAATAATAATAACAATAACAATAATAGTAATAATAATAATAATAATAATAATGATAATAATAATAATAATAATAATGATAATAATAATAATAATAATAATAATAATAATAATGATAATAATAATGATAATAATAATAATAATCATAATAATAATAATAATAATAATAATAATAATATTGATAATAATAATGATAATAATAATAATAACAATAATTATAATAATAATAATAATGATGATAATAATAGTAATAATGATAATAATAATAACAAAAAGAACAATTATAATAATAATAATAAAATATAATAATAATAATAATAG